CATTACTCCTCCTTTGTCAGGAAACGAAAAAAAAGATAAAAGTGAGAGTATTTCCTAGAGGACGTGAACCTTCACGTAACGAACCGATCGAGTTACTCGGAAGCTGTGCTTAGGCTAATTTCATCGGCGATCGATTTTCTATTTCTCACGAGGTTGGACGTTGAACCAGTCTTTTCCTTTCTAAGAATAGAAGATTGTATAAATAATATTGCTCATTAAATGCTAATATAGGATGGTCCAAGTGAGTATGTAAAATTATTCTTTTTTTTCTGATTACAATAAGATATTTCTAACAAAAACGGAGAAAATAGAATATAACTTATATTTTCATTTCCATTATTATGCTTAAAAAATTATGTAGCAAATTGTATAAAGAATGATCCTGAAGTATAAAAGTAAAGTGGAAATTATATATATTATAATAAGAATAATAATATATTATTATAAAATTCCTTGAAAGAGAATTGTTCGAAAAATTGGCAGAAAGCCTAATCATTCGGAAATGAAATGAAGGAATTTATTAGGGGCACGTTCCAAGTATTTATTAAATATTCCCGCTAGTAGCCGGCTGGTTGGCAAGTAATAAAAATTACATTCGAACGAACGCGACGTTTCTAATTGTCGTATTTATTGAATGTCCCGTCGAAGGCGCTGAAAGAACCATTCAGTAGTCAGCCAGACTATTCGCGATTTCCTGACATCGAACGCTATCATGCCAGACCCCTCTGTTATCCTATAAACACTAAAAATATCCGTATTACCTTCTTCAAGCACTAGCTTCTGGCTCATAATATTCTTTCATAATGAATTGTAGAAAAAGAAAGTTTGAAAACAAGTCCTTCATGAATTGGCGGGAAATTTGAAATCTTGTGGGTAATTTAAATCGGTTTTGAAATTTTATTTTATCTAAGAAGTTAGTGGAAACTTCGATCGGAATAAATATAGATATTAAAAATTTTTATAATAATGAGAACTCGATTGAAATATTAATTCCTATTGACATGAAATTAAGAAATTTTAAAAATATATAAAAGATTTAAAAAATATATCATAAATAAGAAATAGAAATTCAAATCTAATAAAATTATATAAATTGCAGAAACAATTTTTCTTTTTAAAATCCTATTTTGTCTATATTCAATTTTGTTCATTCTTTCAAAAATTTCTTTGAAATTCTGTCTTTTCTACAATTAACGAATCAAGATATTCAATTTTATTCTTTTTCCCAGAAAATTGGCGCGAAATTCAAAAATTCCATGCATGCTATGTACATTTTAAAAACGCCAACGCCTTGTCGATCCAAGTGCACCTGTGAACAGGACGTTCCACTTGCCAGATCGGGTGTTCAGGTGGAAAGAGGTGACCGGCTTTTAAAATTGTAGGTTAACGACGTGTGCGCACGAGAGTGCATTTGTGTCCTTTTTTGGAAACCGACGGAACCCCACTGAAAAATCGATTCGAGTTATTTTCGTTACTTAAACCCGCCGATGATCTTCCTCTTTTTTGGCTCGACGTTGCTCCTTTTCGGTTGAATTATTCCTGACTGCGGAGAAAGTGACGCACCCTTTCCCTTGACAAATTTCGCCCAGCCACACCGATGCCATTTAATGGTAAATGCTCCTGTGATTGCTCGACCCAGCCCCCGTTGTTTCGCTTCATTTAATCGTGTACAATTTTCTACGAATTTTCTGCCGAAAGCGAATCTCTTTCCATTGTTATCAATTTCTATGAATGTGCTTTCATGTGTGACGTACATTTTTTTTGTTTTGTTTTTGGTTTTTTGTCAATGATTTTGAGTTTTAAATGACAATTTTTAAAAGATTATATACATATTATATGCATTAAAGTTTTAATCGTAATTTTTTAAACAAAATTATGTAATATTTGTTATGTATTATGTAGTATTTATTATGCAATGTAGAAAGTAGCAAAAAATTGAAAGTAACGAGAAGTTTAATAAGATATTAGAATCATACGTAAAGGTAGGCAGAGGAAGAGGCATTCGTTGGAAATTACATCACGGTTTGGTGAGTCTTGTAACGACTGTCTCAATTTCTCGCTATCTTTCTATCGAATGAACTTGACTTTGATTAGGGAAGGTTATTCTTAGAACAATTTTCGTATCTTTGCTGCAAAGTAGGATCCACAAATTTATCTTATCTTCATTGAACCCAATTTAATTCCTATCATCCCGTCGTCATAGTGCCATCTTCCTTATAATTTCAAAATTTGACTTCTTTCCTAAAAATTAACCTAATCTTATAATTCTAATAATACAATAAATATCATTATCTCAAAAAATGTATTATAATAATATTTATAATTTGTATTGATTTTTATCTCATATTATATTTAAACTATTTTCTCTGTAAAAAAAAAAAAATATTAGTAAAAAGAAATAGTAATTTTTTAATAACAATAAGTAATTTAATATTATCAAATAATTTTTAAGTAGATTATAGATCTATTAAATATGTTATTTAGTTAAAAAATATAAAAAAAATGTTGACAAATTGTTTTAAGAATTTCTTATTAATCTTTATTAATTATACCATCGTTGTACGTTCGAAATTATTTAAACGATTTTTCCTTGTTCGACAGCTACTGTATAGAAAGGATTTGATGAAAACAGCGTTCGCTCATCGACGTTTTTTCCATGCCGACAACACCGCGGAGAATGATCAGAACGAGCAATCCCATACGGAGGCGCCGCTGCTCGAAGAAAAACGATCTGGCGAGCAGACATCCGAGACAACTTGCTTTCTTTTTCTTACCATTTCTTCTCGTCTTTCTCCTCCTGTCTCTCAGTCTCTCCAGTCTTTTTCATTTTTCCCTCTTTTTCGCCCTGATCCGTTTGTCATGTTTCTTCGTTTCTTCTCTTGCTATATTCTTCCCGTTTAATCCTTTTCGATAACCATTTATATCTTTTTTTTACTTTTGTCTTATATATTTGGCTTTGTATTTTTTTATTCTTATTTACCTGAGCAATTTTTTTTCTTTTTTTTTTTCTTGGTTTTACAGACTTTAAGGAAAACAGATTTTTCTTTTTTTTTCCTATCATTTTTTTTTTTTATTATACATATATATATATATCCTTTTTTCGATTCTTAATTTATTACTTTTTATTTGGAGATTAGATTTTAAATTTCTGTCTATTCTTGCTTTTTCTTTTTTTATCTTTTATCGTATATTGTTTCGAGTACGATATAATTTTCTTTCTATTTCCCTTTTTTTAATTTCATTTGTTTACTATTGTCTAAAAAATATTATCTCCTCTCTTACATTTCTTCTCAATTTCTTTTTTCTGATATCACTTTCTATTCTCTAACAATATTTCCATTTTCTCAATTATATTTCCTTTTCTTCATTTATCCAAAAATTACAAAATTTCTTTCTATCAGCCTTTTCTCTATTTACAAAACCATTTCATCTCAATTTCTCTTTCCTAATCTCACTTTTTCACCTCCCATTCCCTCCACACAATACTTCCACTTTTCTCAATTACACGCAACCTTTTTCTCTCCCTCTCCATAACCAAGTTACACCGCACGTTCATATTCTTCTTTCACAAACTCGCTTCTTCATCGGTGCCTCTCTCTTAACCCTTCCTCTCGAGCATCCTCCCCACCCCTCCTCTCCGCAAGACGCGCGGCGTCGTCGGAGAGGGTGGGAGGGGCGCGGTGCAGAGCGCACTGGCGCCGTCCTGCTGCACGCATTATTCCACGCGCATTTTTCCGCGTCGATCTGTGCCGCGGCACGAGGCATGGGCCCGCTTTCTGGGAGAGGATACCCGCTCTGGCACGTGACCGGTGCGTATACGCGTACGGTACACTGGAAACGTTCGTGTGAACCTGGACAGGTTCGGGTAACAGGTTCGAAAGATAAGAACCGCGTGATTGTAGTTTATAGCGACAGAACTATTCGTTGCAAGGTGTAGTGGGAATTAGGGATGAGAAAAGTAATAGTTTTTATGCCTTTAGAGAGATATTGCTTTCTAATTTTGTGTATCTTAATAGTTGGATTTGAAATAGATTGAAAGATTAAAGCATCAACAATGAAAGCATCTAAATTCTTTAATTTTGAAAATTTTTAGGATCTATAAAGATACATAGATTTGAATATTCCTTCTGAAGTTTAATTAAAGTTACTAATGATATTTCAAAGATTTTCAGATTTGTAGATATTTGAAGATCTTCAAAGATCAGAAGGCATTGAAGGAAAAAAAATTTGAAATCCAGAAAATTCTAATAATAATATGATGATTTCTTTAAAGATTCCAAGATGAGAAAATTTAAAAATTGTATTTTTTATAAAAATGGATACAAATTCTAAAAGGAGGAACTAGTTTTCACAATGATCTCTAATCACACACAAGTTCTTTTACTGGGTAACAAGTTTCCCTTCTAATAGTTAGTCCAATAACTGTCCCAATCAGCTTATAATTACAAATCTATTCTTGTTAATTACACTTGTAAAAAATTAATTTTCCACGTATCTCACAATTCTTTAGAATTTTTCATTATCAATGCCAATTTCCTAAAATAAAAATTTCATGAACAAAATTAAATTGAAGTGGCAATAAAAAAAAATTGATCATATTATTATTGCAAGAAATAAAACTATAAAATATTTCCATAAGATAATTAAATTTTTTATTGCAATAAATTGATTTAACTTTTTAACATAAAATTTTTATTATTTTGAGAATGTTCTTTAATAATAATTAAAAATTTTAAAGATTTTCAGTAAATATTATATATCAACTATTGAAAATAACAAAAATTTTATATCTTATATCTTTATACGAATATAATTTAGCGTTTGTAAAATTATCATAAGAAACAAAATTATATGCAAGCCATATTCCATGAATTAATGATCTTCAACGAGTATTCCGCGTGCTACTCGCTGGCACGATGGCCTACTTCGGTCTGGCGCCAGGCGTAAAACGGGAAAAGAATCATATGATTCTTAACCACGATCGAATCGATCGTCCACAACTCTCAGGTGAAATTTTCACCTCTGTCTCATTATTATTTATATATATAATAATATATATTATTATAACTTTCGTTATAATTTATTCGTTTTGTCAATTTATGGTTTCTTCAACTTCATATTTAAGTGCGATCTTCTCAGCATTTTATGTTTTTTTCTTGCAAATTGCCTTATTGATTCATATTGAAATAATTTGATAAATCAGATAATTACAGTTTTCTGATTCAGAAGTTTTAAGTGATAAATATAATCCATTTCTTCAAAAGTACCTATATTCGATGTAATTTATGAAAATTTAATTTAAAAAAGTAATTTATTTAATTATTGAGATAATTTGATTTCCATCATTTCTAGTAATTTTAATTTCTTTAATTTAATTTATAACTTAAATTAAATCTAAACCATTGAAAGGATGATTAAATTTTTATAATCAAAATAAAAGAGTAATTTCTATTTTTGATAATTATAAGGAATTATCAAATAATAATAATTATAAGGAATTGCTAAAAGAATTTTAAACACTTAAATTTAAAATATCTTTATACTGTTCCAAAAACATTCAAACTCAAATCTAATAATAATATCTTGAATAATATAATAATCTATCCTTTAGCTAATATAATAATTCATCCTTTGACAATGAAGAGAATCAATTCTAAATATTATATATTATATATATATATATACCTGAATAATAATTAATTTTTAATCTCCACGTGTCTCTTTCAAAATTACAGGCATCATCCTCCAATTCTTAAGAATGTCGAGGGTCGGTTTGGACTCCAACGTCGAAAGTATCCGACGTGTTGATAAATATAGAGCTTGTAGAAGGGTTTTTTCACGCGGAGAATGGAATCGAGGCGCGGAACACGCCTTCGTCGCGAAAATTACAGTTTCAACGTCCATTCCATGGTGAATAATGCTTGTAAATAATGACAAAGTCCTGCGAACGAAATACTTTATTAGTTTGTATTGTCATGGAAATCTTACAACGTGTAATGATCCGAGAATTTTTCCATAAATTTGATTCATATCGCGTGAAATCGAATTTTCCGGAATACCATTGAATTATCGAATTGTGTATTTAATAAAATTGATTTTAAAATGATAAATTATAATTATTGGTTAATTTTATAGTCTTTTTCTTTTTATTTCTTTTTTATTTTATTTTATTTTTTTTTTTTCAAGGAAAGAAGATTTCACTGAAAGTTCTCTTGTTCTCTTTTTTTTTTTTTTAAGTAAATAAAGTAAAGATATGAAATATCTATCTGTAATTGTTGAGCGTTATTTTAATGTTAAATTCAGAAAATTGGTAACCTTGACAATACGTTATCTCTGATTTGTAATGTTCTCGAAGGATTTTTAATGCATGGTAGTTGACATTGTTCGATAATCGAGTCATACGTGTTTCGTAATCGGAAGAAGTGATTCATGAGAAATGGTCCCTTGTTATAATGATTTATACGCTATGAATACATATTTTTGTTAATTTGTTTCTCATGTAATAGTAAAATATAAAAATTTTAAATGTTTTTATTTATATTGAAGAAAAATTAATCTCTTTATTATTTGAAATTACAGAAAGAAGTTACAAGCTACTAAATATTTTAAAAAATTTATGATTTTTCATAAATTAATTTTATCAAATTTTTAAAAAATGAAAAATATAAATATTATGATAAAATTCATAGAATAAATTTCTCTTTTTTTTTAATTCAAATATTTAAAAAAAGAAAGACAAATTTTAATATACATTTCAAAAGAAAGTGATTAAAAAATTACTGTGAATACTATAGTTCAATGAAATCTATTCTTGAGACCAATTCGTAGAAATAGACTTTCATTGAGATAACAACTGGCAAGTCTTTGTCCATATTTAAATGCACATTAGTACCTACAATCACCTAATTACGTCTTGCATAAATTGCATAGGATGCATTTTACATTTTCTGTTTCCCACGTGCGCCGTTTATTTTTCATTCTGTGGAAGTTTTGTGCAAACCTATAGAATAATAAGAATATAGAGCAAAGTTTTTTCTTCTGAATTTCAATATATGTACTTCCTCTTTATATTTTAACATTTTAAAAATCTATTGAATAATGAAATGAAAATGTTATTAAGTTTTCTCAAAGTTTTTAAATATCTGGAGTACTGAACAAATTTGAAATAAACAAAATATATTGAAATATTTATACACTTATTAAATATATTTCATTAAATATAGAATATTGTACCATAATCTTTCAAAATTATTCTCTCAAGAGAAACAATATTTATATTTTTATTCCCCTATATATATATTAGAATATAATTGCAGAAACACATAAGCAATCAAAGTAGTAAATCAAAAGTCATCTCTATATATAATAATATCTATATATATTACTTTCCACGAGTGACAAGTATCGAATTGATTTTCTCTTTTTTCGCGACATCAGTTTGCGTCCGCCTTTTAAATATAATTTTCTTATCGAACCTGGTGAAAGGTATGAATAAAACATAAGCGTGGAGTGCATCGACTCTCGCATCAATCTCTCACGCCAAGCCGTGGAACTTCCGTGCGGAGAATAATTGGCACGGTATGCGCGGCCCGAGAGAGCTCTGAAAAAAGAAAGAAAAAAAAACCGAGGTGATACTTAAGGAGCTGGATCACGTGGATTACGATTTTTCACGGCTCTCCAACAAACCGATATGAATTCTGGCGAAACGCCGTGAAATGAATCTTTACGGTAGTAGTAATACATAGGAATTGGTCACTAATGCGAGGTTCAGTGAAGGTTAGGTTAGGTTTCTAGTTTCTAATGTCGTGCGAATTTTATGGATCCTGGTTTGTTTACTCTACCTGGTTGATTCTAGTGCGTTTCGTAATAATTTCGCTTGGGACAGGAATAGAATTTTAATTTTAGTTTCATGTTAGGTAGCTTTTGCAGCTGGTCGAAGTTCTTCGATTTTGCTGTAGATATATTTTCATAGAGTTGAGAATTTTAATGGTTTAAGGTCACTGTACTGAAAATATATTTTCTTCGCCAGAAAAATTAAGCTTGTTCTTCATTTATATTATTATTTGTTTTTTTATAAGTATATAAAAACTAGGGAGATAAATTTTATGGATATAAGAATAATTATACAAATATATTAAATATCTATAATGTACAGATAAAATATATACTTTCTATTTCTCTACAAACTTTTAGCAACTTTAAATTTTCTAGATTTTATCTTTCCCCCAGATTCTCATAATTAAAGAATCAAATTAAAATATTATTCAAACGCAAAAATATAGTTATAGAGCATTTATATCTAAAAATTTACTTATCCAGCTGCAACAACAAAGAATTACCATTAATCCATTAAGACCACTAGAAATCCCGTTAGGTTGGCAATACCAACGAACGAAAATCCTCTTATTCTCCTACTATGTCCCTTCTACAAAGCATTTAGCTCGCGTACTCAAGTGATTCATAAGCGACCGCTTCTCGTTGGCTTCTCAAGCGTCTCTCTTTCTGTTCCCGGCCACTCTCGAATTCCTTCGGCACGAGAAGGGCAAAGAAAAAGAGTTTTATCGAGCTGCAACGGCTAGAGCAACGTAGTGAGTCACTCTCGGTGACTGGCTCGTTGTAATTCATTGCGATGATTGAACCCCCACCAACTGTTCCTCGAGTACGGGTCCATTCACAACGAACGAACTCGGTGACCCTGGAACCAGCTGTTTTTCCTCGCTTGCACTTTCGATTGATCAGAAAGCTCGGTGGTAGTGATTGAGTTTCTTGTTTATTCATTTTTTCCCTCGTATGGGTGCAATTAAGGTGGCGGATTGAACGATTGAGTTGTTCAATGTGATTTAAAGATAAGTTTTTTTTTGTATAACATTATGGAATTTTATATAAACATTATTTGTATAATATAATCTATTGTAGAATGCTGAATAATGATTAATATATATGGATGGAAATATCATATCATAAGATGGAAATGGTATGTATATATTGGAATAACAAATTGAATAATTAAGTTGTTCAATATGATAAATTGTTTATTTTAAGTTGTTCAATGTGAATGTAGTATAATGTTGTACTACATGGAAAAATGTTTAGATAGATGTGAGATATAGATAGTTATGTTTATAGAAAATGGAATTTAGTATATTTATTGACATAATAAAGAGATAATATTCATACAATAAGAATAATGAATTAAGTGTTCACTTGAAAAATATATTTATATATAAAGATGTATTTTGAGAGATATATAAGATATATTGGAAATGTTTGTAATTATATTATGTTATATATTATGTGAAATATGAAGAAATATATTATATTTTTAATTTATTATATATTTATAAAATGTATATAATATATTGCATGGATGCAAAGATATTTCAACAATAATCTGTGTAATAAGTATAATATTAAATATTATATAATATGTTTAATATCATATATAAGAATGTGTTCCATATGTATCTATTATAATGATTATTAAAGGATCATTAAAGATGTCCTCATTTGTATGTTTGCTAATATAATAATAAAGGTATATTTCATGTAATATAAATATTATTTTAACATAGTAATATATTTTCTCTTACATTTACTATTATTATGCATGAAGAAATATAATGTTCTAACAAAGGTGTGTTACATACAATGTGCCTATTATTATAGAATGTGAAAATTCGTTATACACACACATTTTTAATTTAATATATGGAAATGTGTACAGTAAATATATTATTATGCTATTATGTATTTACCATTACAGTATAATGAAATCTAAAAGTAATTGATGAATTTTAATGAATTTCAGTCGAAGTTCCTCGTGGAAGAATAAATTATAGTTCTCTATGTGGGAGAAGACTAAAGAAGTTGTGCAAATCTTAACGATACAATATTTTCTTATTTTCATTTCTTTTCTTTTTTTTTTTTTTTTTTTTTCATAAGAAATCTTTAATTTATATCTAATAAATTAATTTAATATGAATTTGTACATAAAAAGTAAATACAGTTAAAATTCTATTCACCTTACAATCTGAATTAATAAAGCAAACTTTGAGCAATGTTTCCGTCTAAAATAGATCGAAAGTCTGATGAAGCTTCCTTCGATTAACTTCAAGATAATTCCGTGCTAGATTTCGAGATGGTCGATTTCAATAGAAAGCAAATCTCTACTAGCTAGTCACGTATGAGAGCTCTGTTAATTGAATCTAACCTGCTACGCTTCTATTACCTGCACGAATCAACCTACTTTTTATTATAATTATGAAATCATCACGAAATCTTGCGAATAATTAACTTTATTTCTCTAATACTACCAAAAAAATAAAAATGTAAATGATCGTTGAGTTTGTTATAAGCAACAGTGAAATTTCACTTTTATATATCTGGAATCATTATTGAATATTTCAATATTTAATTATTTTTAATGATTTAGAAATAATTATATTTATATATTTTATGCTTTATTAATTTTATGATACATATTTTTATATGTAATGTTAATGTTAATATAATAATATAGAACGATATAATGAAAACAAGGTTATTAGTTATATATTTATTGAAAGAGATGTAAAGAGCATCAGAGATGTATGACACGATGTATGAAAGACAGATTGTGCGATAATCATAACACGAGTCGATCTGATAGATGACATCCTTAGCCGCATAATTTGTTAACCTTCTCGTTACGTACAATTGCGCGATACGTTCTTTCCATTTCATGCAACCACATTACGCTTGTTGAATGATTAATAAGAACGATAACAGAGACTGCGTTACACTGTGTAGCAGCCAGACAGATAAGGTCCATTCCCCTCTACACATCAAGGTTTCGTAAACGCATTAAGTTCATAGAGAGAATTCGAAAATTTTCGTGGAAGATTTCGTTTTCTTGATATAATTTCATTTAGTGGAAAGAATCAGAATATATAGTGAATTTGTGCTTTGTTTGAAATTTAAATTCGAAAATGGCATGATTTTTAAAATGAAGTTTGTATATTGTACATTCAATAAGCATACAATTGATTAATAATTGAAAACAAAGTACGAAAAAATAAAAACATCGTTACTATTATTTTTCAACAAAACTTAATTATTTTCTAAGTATATAAAAATAATTCAAAATTATTAAACAGATTAAAAAATGATAAGACGTTTAAACATTCTTTAGGTTATAAAAGATTCTTTAAGGTTATTCTAATGACACTATTGAAGATCTAAAGATCTCAGCGCCATCCATCATTGTGAACGTTGCTTTACATTCATTCCCGCTCTTCGGCATTTGGATCCGTCTATCTGAGTGGCACACTCGCTCCATTCCCATCTTCGCCTCTCTCCACAGTGTCTACCTGTTGCTCGAGCAGCGAAGGCTGCGCGCTACCTGCTACTTATTCGTCTTCATACAATTTGCGTACCTAATCTATAGCATTACTTTGTTTCAAAATATTCATCAGTGTTTGTGATAATATTATTTCATTGCGAATGTGTTATAGTTTATCTATTCAAACTTCTAATAGATCAAACAGTGAATCATTTAATTTGTGATCAAAATTGTTCTGAAGAACAGTAGTGCGTGATTCTTTTCCGTGAAACTACGATCGACAGTTGCAATGAGACGCATGCGCGCGCACTTATTTCTTGCCGTTTGAATTAATTGCTTCCTGACCATTACAAGGACTTCGATTAAGATGACAGCAAATATGGTATTTTGATCGTGGTTTATTTTCTGATCGTTTTGGTGAGTAGATATTTTGAATTTTTAATAATTTAAAAATATGATGTAAAGTTTGAAAACGTGGACTACATGTGTTTTAAGTTTGAAAAAAGTAAGAAATTAGTTGTCGATTTAGGTTAGATAAACAATAAAAATCGTAATATATAGAATTATAATTTTATATATAATTAGTAAATATTTGGGATAATACTTTAAAAAATTAAAAAATATTATAATAAATTATAATAGACGATAAATTTCCTGAAGAAATAATTAATATTAAATATTACATATATAAATTGAGCCGTATAAATTTTAAATTTAAACTAATTTGTTGTAAATTAATTTCGAATTTCAGGAACTTTTGTGAATAATTTATTTAATATAGATATATATTTAAATTAGTTATTAACGTTCAATTTGGATCATACGTATTTTATAGATATCTAGATATCATTATACTATATTTTACTTATTTTTAAATTATTATTATTTAATTATAATATAATTCTAGAAAAATTCTTGATATTAAAATAAGATTTTAAAGCATTTTAATAGCAAATTATATATCGAAATGGAAATTTAAAATGAATGAGAAGTATAATTATCTTCTCTAAGTATAATTAATGTATAATAAATATATAAAGATACTTGATATATAAAGATATTTTTAAAAGTAATAATAGTTTGATTGTTGATATTAATAATTTTGGAGATTTCGAAGATAATATTATCATAAATTTTGATATAAATTGTTATTTCAGTTTTTAACATAAGACTTTGTATCTATTTGAAACCATAAGATAAAATGATTCATTGGAACAGTCACAGTCTAATGGTCGTTATCGTGGGATGCCTGTCGGCGACATATTTCCGGTTTATAAAATTATTAACATCATATTTAACCTCCACTAGATAATTTTGCATATAGAATGCAATCAAACCAATTAATGAGACAAATAAAATAGTTAAAAATACAAAGAAATTTTATCTGTCAACATTATCTACCAATTCTTTTTCTTTTTAAAGTTGAAAATAAGAATATTAAGAAAAAAAAGCGTCATTCTAAAAAGAAATCTTTGAATTCGTTAATTCATTCAATTTGCCTTCTTACATTTTTTTGTTATCTTATAAAATGCATAATTTATATCAAAATCTATAAGAAGAATTAAGTTTAATTGTGATAAATTATATAAATATTCTATTTAATAATTATATATATACAATATTTATATTTTATTGATTAATTCCAAATTTTAAATAAAATACTTATGTAATCACAATTTCAGACTGATTATTGTTATCGTTGATAACAGTTATCACTTAGTCGATCAATTATCTATTTGATAATTCAGATACCAATAATTCAGGTTATCGTTATTCAAATATCAGTTTAATTTTTTTTATGAATTTACTCGATTGTAAAAGAATAAGAGATGATGATAGATGTAAATTCCATGAATACTCTAACAATTAATTATTATCATTTTTTTTTAGATCTCTTATATATCTTTGGAAAATATTTTATTGAATATTATTAATGAAAAAAATTTTTTTTAGATCTA